CCAAAATTGCAAAATGTTTCAGGACTTTTCTGTTCATCTCGATCCGTTCTACCTTCTCACGAGCTCGTGGACAAATGTTATAACTCACCCTGTATAGAGTGAAACATTTAATACGAAATTGTATGTACATGTAAATATTTCTAAAGTGAAACGCGATATCTGAAATAAAGATACATATTTTTCACATCATGTTTATATAGAATGTTTTGTGTTTGGAGAACAATCTTAAGTAGTTTTTTATTAACCTTTTAATTATCCCATGTAATAAATGAAGGAACATAATTATATATATTTTTCCATACGCAGGTAATATTTATCTCTGTTCCTTCTTCTTGAATGCGTGAACTACATTGCTTGTCCTATGTACACTCATTATCAATGCAGTTAATTTGAAAACTACAAAAAGTTGCCTCGAACCTTACAGAGAAGGTTAAAGGGTCATTTTTGTTAGGCGTTAAGTAACCATGGTATACTTTGCTCGACAATTGCATTCTTGGAATACAATGTGCAAAATAATCATTGTTGTGACCCATCTAGTTATATACACACACATAAAACGGATAACAGTGGCTGCAGAATAATCGCGAAAATTTTTTAAAAATATCCTAGTTTTGTCGCCTCTTATTATTAAAAAAATTATTTTTCTGACATTATTTCCGCACAATATGTACCTACTACAACTTTAGTTTGCCTATGCTCTAATGGAAGATCGTGAGATATCTTGATAACATCCTGTCAATGTTTAACTAAACATGTTCTGCATGTGCAAGACATAAATTATGACACAGCGATTATATATCTTTTCTTTATGATCTGAGATGATAAGCTAAAAGCTGTAAGTGCATCATGAATTACCAGTTTCATGGCCTTCTTTCGTTACACAATAGTTATTAGTTGCAAAATTACACTCGCCACGTGTAGATAGGCTTTAAGAAGTTTGTATCGATTTACGCATTTGTCATAGACTCACCAAGAAACTTACACTTAAAAGAGACATTTTTGCAAACGCGTTAATAATAAAGTGCATTGGTAACATAATTAATATTTCTCAGGTTATAATCTGTGACTTATATTATCGTTTTCCCAGAATTTTGGCGAAGATGTTCAATCCATCATTAAAGTTCCAAGTACTCAAAGATGAAAGAAAAAGAAAAAGATGTCTGCTATTCCGTGCTACGGATTTTGCATCGTTGATGTATCCCTGCTTCACTGTTTGCCGCATTCTGGGAATATTTTCATACAAGTTCAACGCTGTGAACATCAAGACTTACAAACCAAGCTATATTCTATCGACCATCAGTATATTCGTTTTTAGCATTGTGTATTCAATAAATCTCTATGAAATGAACGTTCGTGGAGATAAGCGATACAAAAGCGTAGGGATACCACGGATACTTGACTTTAACTCCTACTACATTTTCGGTGGCGTTATCGTAATCAGTACATTCATTTTGAGTGAACCACGAATGCGTTGTCTTCAGACTATACTAGGGCTTTCGTTGAAATTACCCTTGGACTCATATCAGAATTTATCTAGAATAATCCATGCTAAGGACATTTTTTTTCTTCTCTATTTATTTGTGGGGTTGTATAGATACCTTTCCGCGTTGCAAATAAGCATCGTGCGCAAGCTTCTTATGCTATACCTCTCCTTGTTCGTGTTTCAAATGGATATGCTATATATGAATTGTGTTTGTATATTGAAAGCTTGTTTTAAGCAAATCAACGACAATCTAGTGAATTTGCGAGAAGTTTTGACAAATGGTGAGCCATATCTTCTGAATGGTGCCTCTCGTAATCAAAGAAATCCTTTCCTACTGATGAAGATCACAGCTCTGAAGAAGCAGCATCTATCAATCAGTGACAGTGTACGGATGCTGAAAATGGTCTACAGTTTGCAACTTGTTTCTACGATACTTATGGCTTTCACTCATATCACCTTCAATATGTACTTTTACTTCTTAGCGCTAGTACAAAAGAGTGTGCCCCTGACCAGTGTAGAAAAACAAGTGCTTTACGAGTACTTTATTACATTTATAGTGTATTACATTATTAAAATAGCGTTGATGGTATGGGCATGCGAAACTGGCAAGAATCAAGCAAGAGAGATCACCACCACCATTTACAACGTGTTCAACAGTACCAACAATAAGCAAATAAAATACGAGGTAGATTGAAAGAAATTATGAATTCGGCGGCATATTTTACATATTTTTCAGATTATGTCTCACGAATGCTAATTCAGTTTGCAATACATGAATTTATCAGATTTGTAATTAGATCTTTTAATTCTGTGTTTCACAAATTTTTGATGACATTGTAGTTGGAGCTTTTTTCCTTGCAATTATTACATTGTGAAAATGTATTTTCCGCAAAGTGGATTACTATAGACGCTAAGCTTCTAACTGCGGTGAGTGATCTATTATTGACTTTTATTCAATGAATGTAGTTATGTTTAGCTTTATTTAATGATATTGTTTTTTTAGATAATAGGTAGCATTACCACGTATCTATTAATCTTATTACAATTCCTGTTTACACCACATTCTTGCAGTGGAAAATCTACCTAGTTAATAAAAATAACTAGTTTAAACAGAAAATATATTTTAATTATTCTTCGGCTTACCATTGTAAGTAGAATATCGTTGTGAATACATATAGTAGTGCTTTATGCTTCTAATATTTGTGGATATACATACATGTGTAGAAAGAAATTAAAAGATCTTGTATTACGTATGTATTAATAATCAGTTGTAATCGGAAGGTATTGCATTTCACCTATACTGTAATCTAATGGAGGATCGTGAGATATCTTGATAGCGTCCTGTCAATGGTTAACTAAACATGTTCTCTATGTGCAAGACATAAATTATGACACAGCGATTATATAACATTACTTTGATAATTCGAGATGATAAAGAGAAAGCTGTAAATACATCATGAATTACCAGTTTGACAGTATTCTTTTGTCGTACAAATGGTAACAGTCGCAAAATTTAACTCACCTGGTGTAGTCTTGGAGAATTGTACACCGATTTACGCATTCGTCGTAGATTCACCAAGAAACTTGCACTTAGAAGAGAAATTTTTTGCAAACACGTTAATAGTAAAGTGCATTGACAACATAATTAATATTTCTCAGGTTATAGTGTTTATGATTTATATTATCTTTCTCTCATAACTTCGACGAAGATGTTCAATTCGTCATCGAAGTTGCAAGGACTCAAAGATAAAAGAAAAAGGAAAATATGGCAGCTATTCCGCGCTACGGATTTTGCATCGTTGATGTATCCTTGCTTCATTGTCTGCCGCCTTATGGGACTGTTTTCATACAAATTCAACGCCTCGAACATCAAGACTTACAAACCAAGCTATATTCTATCAACAATCGTTATGTGCGTTTTCTGCACTGCCTATTCAATTAATTTCTATGATGTCATTATTGCTGGAAATATTATATTCAAAAGCGTAGGAGTACCCAAAAGACTTGAACTTATCTGCATACATATTCTTTATGGTTTTGCAGTTATTACTACATTTATTTTTACTGGACCACGAATGCGTTTACTTCGGAACATAATGGAGGTTTCGTTGAAATTACCCCCGCAATCGTTTCAGAATTTATCTAGATTAATTCATGCTAAGGACAGTTTGTTTTCCCTGCTTCTAATTGTGTTAATGTTGAGAGTGTTTTGTGTTCTGGACATTACCTTCCTGCGCAAAATTTTGTCTATTTACGTGATTTTCTTGGTGTATCAAATGGATATGCTGTATATGAATTGTGTTTGTATATTGAAAGCTTGTTTCAAGCAAATCAATGACAATCTCGTGAATTTGCGGGACATTTTGACAAATGGTGAGCCATGCCTCCTGAGCGGCACCTATCGTGCGCAGACAAATCCCTTCATACTGCTGGAGATCACAGCTTTGAAAAAACAGCATTTGGCAATCAGTGACACAGTACGAATGTTAACAAGTGTCTTTAGTTTGCACCTTGTTTCGACAATACTTATAGCTTTCGCTGAAATCATCTTCAGTATGTACTTTTACTTCGTACTATTAATACATAAAAGTGTGCACGCGACCAATTCTGAAAAACTGCTGTATTATAAGTACACAAGTGTATATATAACGTTTTACATGATTAAAATAGTATTGATAGTATGGGCTTGCGAAACCGGAAAGAATCAAATACTGGAGATCAAAACCACCGTTCACAACGTATTCAACAGCACCAACAATGAGCACATAAAATACGAGGTAAATTGAAAGAAATTATAACTTCAGTGGCATATTACATGTATTTTGCAAATCATGTCCTGTATATGCTAATTCGATTTGTAAGATATTAGTTTATTAGATTTGTAAATTTATCAGATTGTGTCTACCAATTCTGCATTTGACATTTTTTCGTTTTCTTATTATAGATGGAACTATTTTCCTTGCAATTATTACATTGTGAAAATGTATTTTCCGCAAAGTGGATTACTATAGATGCTACACTCTTGAAATCGGTGAGTTATTACTAATTTTTATTTAATAAAAATAAGTGTGCTCAATTAAATTTTTTTAACGATATTGTTTTTTTTTAGTTAGTAGGTAACATTACCACGTATCTCGTTATCTTAATCCAATTCCTGTACATGTCATATTCTTGCGTGGAAAATTGATCTAGTTAATAAATCTAGGTATTTTAAACATAGGTAATATTATACATTTTAAATATTCGTTTTCTTGTGTGATTGTAAGTAGAATATCGATATGAATAGAGTAGTGCTTTATGCTTCTAAAATTTGTAGATATACATATATGTATGAAGAAATTAAAAACGTCTTATATTACATATATATTAATAATCAGTTGTAAGTAGTATATCCATTTTCGAGAAAATATTCCTTTCAAATTATTCAATACTCCACAAAGTCAACTTTTCTATTAATTCGCAGTATAATTTATTTAGATAACAACTCCATTATTTATATTTAATAAATTACCTTCATATATAATTTTGATATGTAGGCATATGTATACATGTTATACATGCATGTGAATATGTAGATGGTTGAAATAATGTAATCACAAATTTCAAGCTTAGCTTACATATTATTAAAATTACTTTCTGTCAAGTGCAATATAATTATTAATAACACTATTTGTTTTTAATTTTTATGATGCTTGTGCATTACATTTAATTAGACAATATTTACTCAAAAACACAAATACTTTTTGCTTGCAACATTTACTATATAGATTGTAATATTTAATATGAAATAGTACCTGCAAATATTTCTGAAGTAAAACGCGATATCCGAAACAAAAATCCATATTTTTCACCTAATATTTATGTAGAACGTTTTGTTTTTGGAGAACAATCTTAAGTAGTTTTTTTAGTAATCTTTTAATAATCCCATGTAATAAATAAAGGAACATAATTATATATTTTTTTCCATATACAGGTAATATTTATCTATGTTTCTTCTTTTTGAATGCATGAACGACACTGCTCGTCCTATGTACACCCATTGTCAGTGCAGTTAAGTTGAAACCTACAAAAAGTTGCCGCAAACCATGTACAGACAAGGCTAAAGGGATATTTTGTTAAACGTCAAGTAACCATGGTATTCTTCGCTCGACAATTGCATTCTGGAGATACAACGTGTAAAATAATCGTTGTTGTGATCCATCTAGTTTTATGTATATACAAACATAAAACGGATAGTAGTGACCTTAGAATATTCACGAATATTTTCCTAAAATATTCTAGTTTTGTCGCCTCTTATTATTATATTTAAAAAATTATTTTTCTGACTTTATTTCGGCACAATACGTACCTACTACAACTTTAATTTACCTATGCTGTAATCTAATGGAAGATCGTGAGATATCTTGATAACGTCCTGTCAATGTTTAACTAAACATGTTCTGCATGTGCAAGACATAAATTATGACACAGCGATTATTTATCTTTTCTTTATGATCTGAGATGATAAGCGAAAAATTGTAAGTGCATCATGAATTACCAGTTTCATGGCCTTCTTTCGTTACACAATAGTTATTAGTTGCAAAATTACACTTGCCACGTGTAGATAGGCTTTGAGAAGTTTGTATCGATTTACGCATTTGTCATAGACTCATCAAGAAACTTACACTTAAAAGAGACATTTTTGCAAACGCGTTAATAATAAAGTGCATTGGTAACATAATTAATATTTCTCAGATTATAATCTGTGACTTATATTATCGTTTTCCCAGAATTTTGGCGAAGATGTTCAATCCATCATTAAAGTTCCAAGTACTCCAAGATGAAAGAAATAGAAAAAGATGTCTGCTATTCCGTGCTACGGATTTTGCATCGTTGATGTATCCCTGCTTCACTGTTTGCCGCATTCTGGGAATATTTTCATACAAGTTCAACGCTGCGAACATCAAGACTTACAAACCAAGCTATATTCTATCGACCATCAGTATATTCGTTTTTAGCATTGTGTATTCAATAAATCTCTATGAAATGAACGTTCGTGGAGATAAGCGATACGAAAGCGTAGGGGCACCACGGATACTTGACTTTAACTCCTACTACATTTTCGGTGGCGTTATCGTAATCAGTACATTCATTTTGAGTGAACCACGAATGCGTTGTCTTCAGACTATACTAGGGCTTTCGTTGAAATTACCCTTGGAATCATATCAGAATTTATCTAGAATAATCCATGCTAAGGACATTTTTTTTCTTCTCTATTTATTTGTGGGGTTGTATAGATACCTTTCCGCGTTGCAAATAAGCATCGTGCGCAAGCTTCTTATGCTATACCTCTCCTTGTTCGTGTTTCAAATGGATATGCTATATATGAATTGTGTTTGTATATTGAAAGCTTGTTTTAAGCAAATCAACGACAATCTAGTGAATTTGCGAGAAGTTTTGACAAATGGTGAGCCATATCTTCTGAATGGTGCCTCTCGTAATCAAAGAAATCCTTTCCTACTGATGAAGATCACAGCTCTGAAGAAGCAGCATCTATCAATCAGTGACAGTGTACGGATGCTAAAAATGGTCTACAGTTTGCAACTTGTTTCTACGATACTTATGGCTTTCACTCATATCACCTTCAATATGTACTTTTACTTCTTAGCGCTAGTACAAAAGAGTGTGCCCCTGACCAGTGTAGAAAAACAAGTGCTTTACGAGTACTTTATTACATTTATAATGTATTACATTATTAAAATAGCGTTGATGGTATGGGCATGCGAAACTGGCAAGAATCAAGCAAGAGAGATCACCACCACCATTTACAACGTGGTCAACAGTACCAACAATAAGCAAATAAAATACGAGGTAGATTGAAAGAAATTATGAATTCGGCGGCATATTTTACATATTTTTCAGATTATGTCTCACGAATGCTAATTCAGTTTGCAATACATGAATTTATCAGATCTGTAATTAGATCTTTTAATTCTGTGTTTCACAAATTTTTGATGACATTGTAGTTGGAGCTTTTTTACTTGCAATTATTACATTGTGAAAATGTATTTTCCGCAAAGTGGATTACTATAGACGCTAAGCTTCTAACTGCGGTGAGTGATCTATTATTGACTTTTATTCAATAAATGTAGTTCTGTTTAGCTTTATTTAATGATATTGTTTTTTTAGATAATAGGTAGCATTACCACGTATCTATTAATCTTATTACAATTCCTGTTTACACCACATTCTTGCAGTGGAAAATCTACCTAGTTAATAAAAATAACTAGTTTAAACAGAAAATATATTTTAATTATTCTTCGGCTTACCATTGTAAGTAGAATATCGTTGTGAATATAGTAGTGCTTTATGCTTCTAATATTTGTGGATATACATACATGTGTAGAAAGAAATTAAAAGATCTTGTATTACGTATGTATTAATAATTGTAATCGGAAGGTATTGTATTTCACCTATACTGTAATCTAATGGAGGATCGTGAGATATCTTGATAGCGTCCTGTCAATGTTTAACTAAACATGTTCTCTATGTGCAAGACATAAATTATGACACAGCGATTATATAACATTACTTTGATAATTCGAGATGATAAAGAGAAAGCTGTAAATACATCATGAATTACTAGTTTCAGGGTGTTCTTTTGTCGTACCATTGTTAACAGTTGCAAAATTAAACTCACCAGGTGTAGATAGTCTTGGAGAATTGTATATCGATTTACGCGCTTTGTCATAGACACACCAAGAAACTTACACTTAGAAGAGAAATTTTTGCAAAGACGTTAATAGTAAAGTGCATTGAAAATATAAGTAATATTTCTCAGATTATAATCTGCGACTTGTATTATCGTTTTCCCACAATTTCGGCGAAGATGTTCAATCCATCATTAAAGTTCCAAGGACTCAAAGATAAAAGAAGAAGTAAAATATGGCAGCTATTTTGCGCTACGGATTTTGCATCGTTGATGTATCCTTGCTTCACTGTTTGCCGCATTCTGGGAATTTTTTCATACAAGTTCAACGCTGCGAACATCAAGACTTACAAACCAAGCTATGTTGCATCGATTATCAGTATATCCGTTTTTAGCATTGTCTATTCAATAGATCTCTATGAAAAGAACGTTGATGGAGATAATCCATACGAAGACGCAGGGACACCAAGGGTACTCGAGTTTAACGCCTACTACATTTTAAATGGTTTTATAATAATCACTACATTTATTTTGAGTGAACCACGAATGCATTGTCTTCAGAATATACTGGAGCTTTCGTTGAAATTACCCTTGGAATCATATCAGAATTTGTCTAGAATAATCCATGTCAAAGACATTTTTCTTCTCCTCTATCTACTTGTGGGGTCGTGTAGAGGCCTTTACGCGATGCAAATTAGCATCGTTCGCAAGCTTCTTATGCTGTACATCAGTTTGTTCACGTTTCAAATGGATATGCTATATATAAATTGTGTTTGTATACTAAAAGCTTGTTTCAAACAAATCAACGATAATCTAGTGAATTTGCGAGAAGTTTTGATAAATGGTGAGCCATATCTCCTGAGCGGTGCCTCTCGTGATAAAAAAAATCCTTTCCTACTGACGGAAATCACAGCTCAGAAAAAGCAGCATTTGGCGATCAGTGACGCTGTACGGATGCTGAAAATGGTCTTCAGTTTGCAACTTGTTTCTACGATAATGATGGTTTTCACTCATTTCACTTTCAATATGTACTTTTGCTTCGTAACGCTAATACAAAGGAGTGTGCCCCTGACCATTGTAGAAAAACAAATGCTTTTCGAGTACTTTATTACATTTATGATGTTGTACGTTATCAAAATAGTGTTGATAGTATGGGCATGCGAAACCTGCAAGAATCAAGCAACAGGGATCACCAGCACCATTTACGACGTGGCCAACAGTACCAACAATAAGCAAATAAAATACGAGGTAGGTTGAAAGAAATTATGACTTTGACGGCATGTTTTACGTATTTTTCAGTTTATGTTCCGCGAGTACTAATTTAGTTTGTAATACATTAATTTATCAGATTTGTAATTAGACCTTTTTATTCTATCAACTAGTAAGAATATTCTTAAAGTCGCCAGAAGTAATTTATAAATTAATAACATCAGTGATTTTTGTTGATCGTATCTGGTAATTAAAATTCTTAATGCAAAAAAAATATCCTGGCTGGGGTAATATTTTTCGCAATAAGAATTTTAATTGCCAGATACGGTCAACAAAAATCACTGATCCTTTTATTCTATGTTTGACAAGTTTGTGATATGACATTGTAGTTGGAGCTATTTTCTTTGCAATTATTACATTGTGAAAATGAATTTTCCGCAAAGTGGATTACTGTAGACGCTACGCTTCTAACTACGGTGAGTGATCTATTATTGACTTTTATTCAATAAATGTATGTATAGTTAGCTTTATTGAATGATATTGTTTTTTTTTAGTTGATAGGTAACATTACCACGTATTTAGTAATCTTAGTCCAATTCCTGTACATAACAAAGTCTTGCGGGTAAAATCTGTGTAGTTAATAACGCTATTTAGTTTAAACATAGAAAACATATTCTAAATATTCTTGTGCTTATGTGATTGTAAGTAGAATATTGTTATGAATAGAGCAGTGCTTTATGCTTATAAAATTTGTAGATATACAAATATATTATATATAAATAAATTTAAAAAGACCTATATTACATATATATTAATAATTAGTTGTAATTAGAAGATACGTTTTAATGTTTAAGTGTACAATCAGATACGTAATATATCCATTTCTGAGAAAAATTATTTGCGAATTATTGAAAATCCACAATGTCAACTTTCCTATCAATTTTTCATCTTGTTGAAAGCGTTAACGAGATTTCTCGTCTTATTTACACTAATTGTCAATGTATTTAAGTTCAAAATTACTAATAATTGTTGCGTTGAGCATTACAGATAAAACTAAAGGGATATTTTGTTAGACGTCAAGTAACCATGGTACTTTTCGATCGACAATTACATTCTTGGGATACAATATGTAAAGTAATCATTGTTGTGACCCATCAAGTTGTATGTATATGCAAACATAAAACGGATCATATTGACTATAGAATATTCGCGAATATTTTTCTAAAATATCCTAGTTTTTTATCGTCTCTTATTATAACAAAATTACTTTTATTACTTTATTTTGGCACAATGTGTACCTACTACAACTTTAATTTACCTATGCTGTAATCTAATGGAAGATCGTGAGATATCTTGATAACATCCTGTCAATGTTTCACTAAGCATGTTGTTGGGAACGTGAAGGCTTGTAATAAGCTGAAGGCCTGTAGTTCCTCGGTTTTTTTTACGGATGAGAATATATTTCGTCTAAATAATTTTGCTGTTCGCACGTACACTGTGCTTCGGACGAAGGACGACGAGTCCCTGCGCTACAGCGCTGGATCGTGTTCGATCTCTCGTGGCGGCGCTTAGAACTAAAAAAATGCTATGTCGCATGCTTATCGATACAGCCTGGTACTCAATGAAATTAACCACATGTTCTGCATGTATAAGACATAAATTATGACAGAGCGATTATATGTATATCTTTTCTTTAAGATCCGAAGCGATAAGCGAAAAGCTGTAATTGCATCATGAATTACCAGCTTCAGAGCCTTCTTTCCTTGCACAATTGTTATTAGTTGCAAAATTAAACTCGCCACGTGTAGATAGGCTATGAGAAGTTTATATCGATTTACACAATTGTCATAGACTCACCAAGAAACTTACACTTAGAAGGGAAATTTTTGCAAACACGTTAATAGTAAAGTGTATTGAAAACATAAGTAATATTTCTCAGGTTATAATCTGTGACTTATATTATCGATACACAATTTCGGCGAAGATGTTCAATCTATCATTAAAGTTCCAAAGACTCAAAGATAAAAGAAAAAGAAAAATATGGCAGCTATTCCGCGCTACGGATTTCGCATCGTTGATGTATCCTTGCTTCACTGTGTGCCGCCTTATGGGACTGTTTTCATACAAATTCAACGCCTCGAACATCAAGACTTACAAACCAAGCTATATTCTATCAACATTCGTTATGTGCGTTTTCTGCACTGCCTATTCAATTAATTTCTATGATGTCATTATTGCTGGAAATATTCGATTCAAAAGCGCAGGAGTACCCAAAAAACTTGAACTTATGGGTTTACATATTTTTGGTGGTTTTATAGTTATTACTACATTTATTTTTACTGGACCACGAATGCGTTTACTCCGGAACATAATGGAGGTTTCTTTAAAATTACCGCCGCAATCGTTTCAGAATTTATCTAGATTAATTCATGCTAAGGACAGTTTGTTTTCCCTGTTTCTAATTGTGAATATGTGCAGATTCTATTATGTTATGAACATTGCCTTCCTGCGCAAAATTATGGATGTATACATGGTTTTCTTCGTGTATCAAATGGATATGCTGTATGTGAATTGTGTTTGTATATTGAAAGCTTGTTTCAAGCAAATCAATGACAATCTCGTGAATTTGCGGGACATTTTGAGAAATGGTGAGCCGTGCCTCCTGAGCGGCACCTATCGTGCGCAGACAAATCCTTTCATACTGCTGGAGATCACAGCTCTGAAAAAACAGCATTTGGCAATCAGTGACACAGTACGAATGTTAACAAGTGTCTTTAGTTTGCACCTTGTTTCGACATTACTTATGGATTTCGCTAACGTCATCTTCACTATGTACGAATACTTCGTAGTGTTAATACATAAAAGTGTGAACGAAGCGACCAATTCTGAAAAAGAGGTGGTACATAAGTTCGTAATTGTACTTATAACGTATCATATGATTAAAGTAGTATTGATAGTATGGGCTTGCGAAACCGGGAAGAATCAAGCACTGGCGATCAAAACCACAGTTCGCGACGTATTCAACAACACCAACAATGAGCAAACAAAATACGAGGTAAATTAAAAGAAATTATAATTTCAGTGGCATATTTTATGTATTTTTTACATCTCGTCCCTTATATACTAATTCCATTTATTATACATTAGTTCATCAGATTTAAATTTAGGAGATTGTATCAGTCAATTCTATGTTTGACAATTTTTTGTTTTGTTATTGTAGTTGGAGCTTTTTTCCTTGCAAGTATTACATTGTGAAAATGTATTTTCCGCAAAGTGGATTATTATAGATGCTACACTCTTTAAATCGGTAAGTAAGTTATTACTAATTTTTATTCAATAAATGTAAGTGTTTAATTTAGCTTTGTTTAATGATATTGTTTTTTTTTTAGTTAATAGGTAACATTACCACGTATCTACTAATCTTAGTTCAATTCCTGTACATGGCAAATTCTTGCGTGGAAAATTTATCTAATTAATAAATATATTTATAATAGTTTAAACATAGAAAACACAGTTTAAATATTTTTTTCGTTGTGTGATTGTAAGTATAATATCGTTATAAATAGAGTAGTGCTTGATACTTCTAAAATTTGTAGATATACATAGTGTGAGGAAATTAAAAAGTCTTATATTACATATATATATAATATATTAATAATCAGTTGTAAGCAGAGGATACGTTTCATTGTTTTAAGTGTACAATCGGATACGTAGTATATCCGTTTTTGAGAAAATATTCCTTTCAAATTATTGACTACTCCACAAAGTCAAATTTTCTATTAATAATATTATTAATAATATTATTTATTTTTATTTTTTATGATTCTTGTGCATTACATTTAATTAGATAATATTTACTCAAGAACACAAATACTTTTTGCTTGCAACATTGACTATATATATTGAAACATTTAATATTAAATAGTAAGTACATGTAAATATATCTAAAGTAAAACGCGATATCCGAAATAGAAATTCATATTTTTCACCTAATGTTTATATACTTAGAACGTTTTGTTTTTGGAGAGCAATCTTAAGTAGGTTTTTTATTAACCTTTTAATTATCCTATGTAATAGATGAAGGAACAAAATTATATATATTTTTCCATACGCAGGTAATATTTATCTCTGTTCCTTCTTCTTGAATGCGTGAACTACATTGCTTGTCCTATGTACACTCATTATCAGTGCAGTTAATTTGAAAACTACAAAAAGTTGCCTCGAACCTTACAGAGAAGGCTAAAGGGATATTTTGTTAGGCGTTAAGTAACCATTGTATACTTTGCTCGACAATTGCATTCTTGGAATACAATGAGCTAAATAATCATTGTTGTGACCCATCTAGTTATATACACAAACATAAAACGGATAACAGTGGCTGTAGAATAATCGCGAATATTTTTAAAAAATATCCTAATTTTGTCGCCTCTTATTATTAAAAAAATTATTTTTCTGACATTATTTCAGCACAATACGTACCTACTACAACTTTAATTTACCTATGCTGTAATCTAATGGAAGATCGTGAGATATCTTGATAACGTCCTGTCAATGTTTAACTAAACATGTTTTCTATGTGCGAGACATAAATTATGACACAGCGATTATATAACATTACTTTGATAATTCGAGATGATAAAGAGAAAGCTGTAAATACATCATGAATTACTAGTTTCAGAGTATTCTTTTGTCGTACAATTGTTAACAGTTGCAAAATTTAACTCACCAGGTGTAGATAGTTTTGGAGAATTGTATATCGATTTACGCATTTGTCATAGACTCACCAAGAAACTTACACTTAGAAGAGAAAGTTTTGCAGACGTTAATAGTAAAGTGCATTAAAAATATAAGTAATATTTCTCAGATTATAATCTGCGACTTATATTATCGTTTTCCCACAATTTCGGGGAAGATGTTCAATCCATCATTAAAGTTCCAAGGACTCAAAGATAAAAGAAGAAGTAAAATATGGCAGCTATTTCGCGCTACGGATTTTGCATCGTTGATGTATCCCTGCTTCACTGTTTGCCGCATTCTGGGAATTTTTTCATACAAGTTCAACGCTGCGAACATCAAGACTTACAAACCAAGCTATGTTGTATCAATTATCAGTATATCCGTTTTTAGCATTGTCTATTCAATAATTCTCTATAAATTCAACTTTGAAGATAAGCGATTCGAAAATGTAGGGGCACCCTTGATACTTGAGGTTAACTCCTATTTCATTTTCGGTGGCGTTATTGTAATCGCTACATTCATTTTGAATGAACCACGAATGCGTTGTCTTCAAACTATACTGGAGCTCTCGTTGAAATTACCCTTGGAATCATATCAGAATTTATCTAGAATAATCCATGCTAAGGACATTTTTTTTCTTCTCTATCTACTTGTGTGGTCGTATATATACCTTTCTCTGGAGCAACGGAGCATCGTGCTCATCCTTCTTATACTATACATCGAATTGTTCATGTTTCAAATGGATATGCTATATATAAATTGTGTTTGTATATTAAAAGCTTGTTTCAAGCAAATCAACGACAATCTAGTGAATGTGCAAGAAGTTTTAACAAATGGTGAGCCATATCTTCTGATTGGGGCTTCTCGTAATCAAAGAAATCCTTTCCTACTGATGAAGATCACAGCTCTGAAAAAGCAGCATCTATCAATCAGTGACACTGTACGGATGCTGAAAATGGTCTTCAGTTTGCAACTTGTTTCTACGATACTTTTGACTTTCACTCATATCACCTTCAATATGTACTTTTATTTCATAGTGATAATACAAAATAGTGTGTCCATGACCGATGTAGAAAAGCAAGTGTTTTACGAGTACGTTATTACATCTATAGTGTATTACGTTATTAAAGTAGCGTTGATAGTATGGGCATGCGAAACCTGCAAGAATCAAGCAATAGAGATCACCAGCACCATTTACAACGTGTTCAACAGTACCAACAATAAGCAAATAAAATACGAGGTAGATTGAAAGAAATTATGACTTTGGCGGCATATTTTACGTATTTTTCAGATTATGTCTCACGAATGCTAATTCAGTTTGCAATACATTAATTTATCAGATTTGTAATTAGATCTTTTAATTTTGTGTTTGACAAGTTTTTGATCTGACATTGTAGTTGGAGTTATTTTCCTTGCAATTATTACATGGTGAAATTGTATTTTCCGCAACGTGGATTACTATAGACGCTAAACTTCTAACTGCGGTGAGTGATCTATTATTGACTTTTATTCAATAAACGTATGTATGGTTTGCTATATTTAATAACATCGTTTTTTTTTTTAGTTAATAGGTAACATTACCACGTATTTATTACTCTTAGCCCAATTCCTGTACGTAACAAAGTCTTGCGGGTAAAAGCTGTTTAGTTAATAAAGTTATCTAGTTTAAACATAGAAAACATATTCTAAATATTCTTGTGCTTATGTGATTGTAAGTAGAATATTGTTGTGAATAGAGTAGGTAGTGCTTTATGCTTATAATACTTGTAGATATACATACATGTGTAGAAAGAAATTAAAAAATCTTGTATTACGTATGTATTATTAATCAGTTGTAATCAGAAGGTACTTTATTTATTTAAGTGTATAATCAGATGTTACACATAACATAGGCGTTTTCTGAGAAATGTTACTTTAGAATTATTAGATATATCACAAAATCTAATTTCTTTATTATTTGCATTATAATTTATACAGATAGCAATTCCGTTATCAATAAATCAGCTAAATATAAAATTTTTATATGTAAAAATGTGTAACAAGTAGCCCTTTGAATTCTTATCACTTGACATTCTTGCAGTTCTTATTTCAATTTCGGTTTTAATAGGTTAACAATAAAGAGTCCATGTTAGTATGCACGGCAGCTGTAAAAAGTTAAACTCTAATGGTATACCAAGAAGCAAGTTCTCCGAATTATATTTTAATTTATGATAAAGTATATTTAGTAAGTAATTAATATTTCTCTATTCTTTCATGACTCTTCACTAATCATGTTCACCTTATTGTCAAAGCAGCCAATGCCAAAATGCGGAAAAGATGTTCTGCGCCACAGATTTTGAATTGGTAATCTCTCTTTCACCTTTTGCTACATTCTTGGACTATTTCCGTATAAAATTAATACTTAATTCTTCAAGAATTCTAAACCACATTATATTCTTTCAACCGTCGTTGTGTGTTTGTGTAATTGGCTTATTATTAATAATAAAAAAAGGAATCATTTTTCGACATTATGAGGCATATTTTATCACTTCTTAATAAGTGTTTGAGGAAGATTCTTGAGTTATCTCGATGTTGTTATGTTTAACATTAAATCAATAAGTCAATAATTAAAAAATATTAATTATATTAAACATATTTAGTTTATGCAGAACTAGATTGATAAAAATATGCTTTTAAAAATTACAATATCAAAAGCAGTGGTATTTAATTAATCAAGACTGATTATTTAATCAATAATATATTAGCAGAAACTTTGTACAATTTATTTACGAGGCAAATAACATATAATGATGTTATTAAATATCATTATTGAAATTTAAAATTTCAATTGTTTAAACATGATTTGAAACGTACAATGTGCAATTGTAATTTTAGGTGATCATATACATATAAAAGAGATTTAATTAGTACCAATAAAATGAACGAGCAATATTACTGTCATAAAATTTCAACGCTCTGCTCATTATTAAGATTTATTTGCTTTTATGTATGTGCACAAATAATCTTACTAATAACATTATCTGCTTTAATTTTTCATGTTCCAGATGTATTAAACGTTAGATAATATCTATTTAGAAACACAAATATTTTTCGTACATTTTCTATTTTGCCTGAAATATTAATATGCAAATATTTCTAAATGAAAATGTGAAATCTGAACAAAGATACATGTTTTTGCATAATGTTTACCTGCAACATAATATTCTTTACATTTCTGTTAAATAATTTTAAATAATGTTTTATTATTCTTTTAATTTTTCTGTGTTAAATAAAAGAATATAATTTTATATACCTTAACATCTCAATAAAAATAGGCATATCTTTTTAAGTGTAAAAAGTGATATGTAATGGAGTAATAAATAAATTGATGTTCTACTTATTTGTCTCTCTGTTAACTTGAACAAAACAAAACATGAAAAAGGAAAGAGAAGACTTCGTTTGCCACTACCGATTCCGTTACAGTATTTCGATCAGACTACTATTATATACGAGATGAGAAGCTACTAGAGAAAAAACAATTAAGTAGCTGCCACAAAAGAAGGGAATAGCAAATCTACCGTCGGTTACTCTTCCTGATCAGAAAATATTATTACGCCTGCAGCCCTTCGACTGCGTAGAGCTGCATAGGGAAGCCGGAAGAAGTCGCGAAGCGATCTCCTGGCAACATATTTTATAGTAAATAAATGCCTTGATGATTTGTTGCTGAGCCGTTTTGACAAATGACCGCGTAGGCTGCGTCTTCGACTTATTGTATTTCGTGCGAATAAACATTTCTGTGTTCTTGTTCATTTTCCCGTGGTCCTAGGAACATGCAGACACCAACACGAGTTAAAGAGCGATTTGCGAGAAAATCCAGAGAGCAACATATTTTAAAACGATTCAAATATAATAGTAAAATACTCGCAACAGTAAGCAAACAAGTTTTTAAAATCTATTTTGTAATAACAATGAAAATAATTATTCCTTTCCTCACATAAGAATATGCATAAACTAGAATGTAAGCGATGCATCTATAACATATTTCCATATATTCTCTTACTCTTGTACTCTTTCATAGATACGAAAACAATCCATTATTTCACTTTAGCATTTT